TGATTCTGTAAATGTATAGAACCGGTTCTGTTTCTGTGTGTCTTTGATGGCTTTAGAACATTCCAAAATATGTCTAACCCAAAGTTGAATTTGTAGGATGATGGTCTCCTTCACACTACATGTGGTACACCGAATTACGTTGCTCCTGAGGTGCGGACAATTGTTTAAGCACACTATTTTTTTCACCATTTGTTTAACCCCTTAGAATTAACAGTATTTTCTCTTCCTATAACATAGGTCCTCGATGATGGAGGCTATGATGGGGCAACTGCAGACTTGTGGTCGTGCGGAGCGATACTCTTTGTGTTGCTTGCAGGTTACTTGCCTTTTGATGATTCTAATCTTATGAACCTGTACAAAAAGGTGTGCATTCGTTATTTCATGTTGCAGTTATCCATTGTTATTTGTGTTGCCTGTTTTGCACTCTGATTTTCGGGATGCACAGATTTCAGCAGCAGAATTCACTTGCCCCCCTTGGCTATCTTTTAGTGCAATGAAGTTGATAACTCGAATCCTGGATCCAAACCCGATAACTGTAAGTTATTATACATGAATGTTTTTCAGGCTTCAATACCAAATTAAAATAAAGCTACACTCATGACAGAAAAAGAATGTTCCATCAAAAGTTGCTTAGTTAAATTCTTGCTGAATGTATAATAGTTCTGCGAAATATGGATTTTCCTGAAACATTGTTCCTTATGACATAACTATGAGGTTTGTAAATCTATGCTTTTGTCTTTTGCCCCTCCATCTTCAATACTATAGACTAACATGTTTCCCTTGTTAGCGGACATAACCGTGGGAGATGGAGTCCGAGAAATCTGCAGAATGGATATTAAAAATGTATAATCCTATCTGCTCTTTCTCTTTTTGCTCTTTCCCCCTCCGAAAGATTTCTAATTCGCGGCCTGCATATAATTTCTAAGGAAAGATAACTACACTATACCTCTTTATCTTACTATTTATGTATGTATGACACTGTCCATTACGAGTATATTTAATTAAACAACTACTTTCTTTAATTATGACAATGGACAATAAATAAAAAAGCCTTTTCCAGCAGGAGGGTTCGGCTTTAAGGTTCATCTCTGCATGCATTTAGTCATGCATATTTATGTTGGCCTTTAATTTTAGGAAATCATTTCCTTCAGACTTTTGTTTTGTTTTTCTGTAACATTTTCACTTGGCTTGATGTTAATGCCTACATATCTCTTTTTATGTTGCAGCGCATTACGGTTCCTGAAATTTTGAAGGACGAATGGTTTAAAAAGGATTACAATCCTCCTGTGTTCGAAGCGAAAGATGATACGAATTTAGATGACGTCGAAGCTGTTTTTAAAGATTATGAAGTAAGTTGATGTTGTCTCTCTTTAGTTATAGAACAATTGACATGTAACACTGTAGAAGGTGCTGTTATATTTGGTGCTTCTTCAAGTTTTTATCAACGTGTTGGTTATGTAACAGGAGCACCATGTTACAGAAAGGAGAGAAGAACAACCAACAGCCATGAACGCTTTCGAGTTGATTTCTATGTCAAAAGGGTTAAACCTTGGGAATCTGTTTGATGCAGAAGAGGTTTGTATCTCTGTCAAAAGTGTTAACCTTGATTTAGATGTTTATAAAGTTGAGCAATGACAGTACCAAGTATTTCTAATATTGGATCAAGAGGTTTTCGAGGTTCCGCACGATGTACTAAAATGAGATAGTTTATCGAAAAATCAGGACGAAATCGGAAAATCGAGTTTTGTATTAGAAGTAACACTTGGTGGTTCTATTTTCTGCAGGGATTTAAGAAAGAAACAAGGTTTACATCCAAGTGTCCTGCTAATGAGATTATCCATAAAATTGAAGAAGCTGCAAAGCCTTTGGGGTTTGATGTACACAAGAAAAACTTCAAGGTGAACAAATCTTACACACATATAATGAAGGTAATTATCGAAGATTATACATACAATTACTTATTTTGTATTGTATCATGCAGATGAGACTAGAGAATCTGAAAGCAGGAAGGAAAGGGAACCTCAACGTCGCCACCGAGGTAACTTGAGTTAAAGCGACATTTCGTTTAAAGCTCGGGTTATATTTTCTACTGATCAATCTGTTTATTTTGTCAATCAGATATTTCAAGTGGCACCTTGTTTACACATGGTTGAGGTTCGAAAGCAAAGGGGGACACATTGGAGTTCAACAAGGTACCCTGTCATTCTATCCTTATAATTTCATTGCAGTTTCTGTTTTCTGGTTTGGACAAACTACAGATGAGAGTTATGTAATGGCATACCATTGGTTCCTGTTATAATTTTCGATTAGTCCTTAGATCGTCTCTACGATATTATCTGAGTTAGTGTGTTCTTGAGCACATATTCTCTCTTGTGTCCTAAACCGAGATTATATTTGCCGGCGATTAAATGTTAAGATTTTTTCCTTTTTTCTCTCTCTGCAGTTCTACAGAAGCCTTTCAACCTGTCTGGAAGATGTTGTCTGGAAAACTGAAGAGGACATGAGAGAAGTGAACTGAACAATGGAGTCTCCTATGTCTCCAAGTTTAACTGTATTTGATGTTGTTTTGAATGTTCCTGTTTTGGTCCAATATCTTCATTCTTTTGTAGGAGGATTAAACAGCCATGGTTGTTCCAATTGTTTTCCATTGTTATCAGTGTTTGGAAAGCGTTGATAATTCTCATGGAATGCGGTGGTTTAGTTTACCCTTTATAAAGTTAATGATGATAAAATATTTGCAATAATATAAATAATTAAACCCTGTTTCCTCCTCTGTCTTATCCTATACAAGAGTAATGTTTGCTTAGTCATGTCTTATATAAGGTCATATTCGTTTTTATTTAAATAATATATGGTCACATTCGTTTTTATTTAAGACGTGGTCATCACATAGTAATTGTTAACTAAGTGACTTGATTTTTTGGTATATTCACACATTTTGTCTTTATTATTTACATATTCTCTCAATTTAGTCATGTTTTTAATATATTGCACGAAACAAATTATCTCAATGGTTAAAGTAATGGTTGTTATTCCTAGAGTTCACAAATTAGAACACCAACGAATGTAGTAGGGTGATTAAGCGTTCATTATCAAATGATTGAAAGTAGTTAAAACTAGTACTACTTTGTAATCACATATTTGGTCTATATTATTTACACATTCTCTCAATTTAGTCATATTTTTAATAAATTGCACGAACCAAATTATCTCAATGGTTAAAGTAATGGTTGTTATTAATAGAGATCACGAATTCGAGTATTAGCAAATGTAGTAGGGTGATTGAGCGTTCATTGTCAAATGGTTGAAAGTAATTAAAACCAATAATATTTTGTAATCACCTAAACTTAATCAAAAATACTTTTAATAAATTTAATTCTTCAATTAAATAATGATAACAAATTGGGGGCTAAAAAGAATCAGACACGGGTCTCTTAGGAGAGCAAACATGTACTCAATCATTGAGCCAAGACCAATATTTGGTGTTTCCTCCTCACTATTTAGTGTTTTAGCCAACTATGATAGCTTTCTTTACTTGGTGTTTTGGCTATGATATTTTGGTAATTGCGGTAGTAGTCAGGAGTTTTAATAGCGGTTTTGCGATTGCGATAGTACCCTTGAAATAATGGTAGTGTTGTTTTTCGATATATCTGTTATACGCAATAGAATATACTATGATCACAATCGCAATAAATATGACTGACTGAAAACACAACCGTGACCGCGATTTAAATCCCTGATAGTAGTTTCCACATGGTCACCATGCATAATCGACAAGAATAACCATAATAGAGAGAGTTTGCTAGTGAAGATGAAAGCTTTAAAACACTAGGGGTACGTTTGGTTCATGGAATGTAACATTACTTCCGGGAATAAGATTATCGGAATGTTACATTACCTTACACATTACAAGGAATGTTATGTTATTGTGTTTGGTTTGTTTGATAGGAATGTATGATTACAGTGTTTGGTTAAATGAATAAAAGATTACTGGAATGTATATTTTACAAAATTATCCTTATGATATTTTTTTAACAAGTTGAATTCCAAATATTCAAATGAAAATATTTATATAAAAATTCATAGAAAATATATTATTGTATTATTTTCAATTTATATATATTTTTAAATTTAAATTTAAATTTAAATTATTTTTTACAAAATTTAAAAGATAAATAGATAGATTAAAAGAGTAAATATATCATATATTATTTTAATCTTAATTAATATTTAAAAAGTTATGATAATAAATAAATAAATAAAATTCCCGGTTGGGAATATTTTTGAAATAAAGTTATGATAACAAATTTATGATAATATACTATAGATTTTGAAATAAAAGTTAGGGTATTTTTGAAATAAATCTTTTGTTTCAAGGGCATTTTAATCCAAGTTGAAGGGAAACAAAAAATACCTAAACTCACCATAGAATTAATATTCCCGGTAAAATTGAAAAAATTTACTACTGGGAATATTTTATTACACTCTTATTAAGAATCTTGCCTATTCAAATGTGGGTATCACGAAGAGGAAAAAAAATATTTCTACCAGTAATACTGAAATCTATGATCCAAACGCCCCTAAGTGTTTCGATCGATTTTTCAAATATGTCAATATTTTGATCAATTTTTCGAAAACGCCAAGTGCTCCAGCCGACATCTCATACCATCACCTTACTTGAAAAAATAATTTTTCAATACATCCTATGAGCCATTGTTTTTTCAACTTTACGATTAAGAGAATTATGAATAATTCAAACGTCGTAAAGAGATTAAAAAGAAAGTTAGAAATTTGAGGAGGTATATATAAATTTTAGAAATTATTAAAAGAATATAAATTAAAAATATAAATATGATATAAATTATTGTATTATATTATTATTTTTTATTATACAAAAACCAAATACACCACCAATCTTAAACACTAAAACACCCGTAAATCGCCACTAATATCGTATAAGGGATAAAAAAAAGATCATAAAAAGGAAAGAAAATCAAAACATCAAAATTTCAAGAATATGCAAACAATTTGAAACAACAATAAGAACCTATTGAATCTGCCGCCAAAAGAAATCGATCCAGAACCAGAAGCTTCGTCCTTATCACTATCCTCTTCAATGGGGTGATCGAAGTTCGCCGGCACGATGGTTTCAGGGGCGGAATCGTCGCTCCCAAAATCTGCACTGTTGGGTGCCGGCGCATCATCCGGCGGATCTTGTAAGCTCTTGGGCAACCCTTGGCCGTGGGTCACGTTTACCTTGAAGCGCTGACCATTGTTGCATTGCTCGCCGTCGTAATCACTGGAGAAGAAATAGGTCATCCCTTCTTTTAGTAAAGGGACCGCTACTGAGATGGGATGAGGCGCCGTGGACGACGGATCCGCCGCCGACCATTGAATCGTGTCGTTTTGAAGAGCGTCATCGTAATCGCAGAGCTTGTACGTGGTGAAATTGTATGTTTGGATTATTGAATGGTTGTTATCCGTATTGAAGACTGTTAAACGAAAACAAATAAATTTGTCAGGTTCACACGGTTCTATATATCCCGAATTTTGTAATAAAAAATAAATTCAATATATATTTTTATTATATAAGAAACAATAGTATGAGAACCCTCTAAATTATGGTCTTATTCTAAATTAATTTAAAAATTATATCAAAAACCTCAAATAAGTAAAAAAAATTAATCCGTAGAATTGACATTTTATTAATAAAAAGTAAAATAATAATGATAATATAAAGATTGATAAAGATATTTTCTTTATGAAAGAAGATATAGATATTAATTATATTGGGTTTTCAGATTTTTTAAAACATATGAAAATTTTAAACAATTAGAGTTGATGATGTATTAATTAAATGATTAAAAAATTATATCAATAATTTAGAGTTTAATATAAAATATTTTAAAATGTAAAAGTTAATTTAAGATAAAACTATAATTTAAAAAATTAATGTAAAATATATAAAACTTAAAAATCAATCTAAAATAAGAATTATAGTTTAAGGACCTTCTATTCACTTAACTCTTATTGTAATAAAAAGACATGAATTCAAGTAGTTCAAGAATCTAATGCCCTTTAAAGTATGTCAGTGAGCAAACATATTCTGACAGCCGAATTTGCAAAGTGCACATGGTAGACTTCTTGCATGACAATCCATCATTTTTCCTTTTTCATTAGATTTCCCTTGTCATTTTTCATATCTGTATTTTCTACAATTCAAAAACAACCCTAAAGCATGGCTATTGAAAAAGGAATTAAGAAAATAAAAGAAAAGGAAATCTATAGTTGAGACGAGGCATGTATGTATGAGTGGAGCAAGTTTAGGAAGAAGTCAATTCTTGAAGAAGATAAGGGATCATATATGTTTGGATTGTTCCATCGTCTTCCTATGTTACACCTCTAACAAAATGAAAATCTGTAGTTTGCAGCTAAATTGAAGGAAAAAAAAGTCCCAGATTTTCTTGCTAATTCGTACTGTTAAGAAACGGCATAACCGATCAATCCCTCCACTTTTCAAACCATTTCCTTATTTGGGTTGTGATGATTTTGTTCTATTGACGGGTATATACTAAAAATCCACAGATTAGCATCATACGATCCAAAGAGGAAATGTATAAAAAGGGACTTACCGAGGAAATCACCCAAGCTGAAGTTGTTGGAATCCGCCCATTTCTGGTAATTGACATCAGGCTTTTCAAGGGTGTCGAACCAGCCAAGGGAACCACCGACCGTGTAGTTCTTGTAAGCTGTGACGGATCCTGTGAAAGACAGAACCAGGAGACAGGAAGCAATGGTGAAGAATTGCAGAACTGAAGTACTGTAATACCCAGAGCTCCGTCCCATGTTTTTAGTGATGGTTTTTGTGGACTAGAGAGGAACTCTTGGGACTTTAAGAAGCTGTGGAATAAGCTTAAGTTGTGGTTTATATATGTAGCCTTGCCTTTTGCATGGAATTACTCTAGTGGTTCATCTTATCATTTATCCTTTTTTGATGGCCCCAGTTCATTAAATTGTCAGATTCAACTTCTTTCACAGCTGAGTGAATGATAAGAAACGAATAATACTTATCAAGTTGTTAATTACCTAGAGTTGGAATTATCAATTCTGTATTAAGTTCTTCTTGCGCATATGTAAAAAAAATATTCTAAAAATTAAAAACGTCAAACATAGTATTTTTTGAAACAGTGAAACACAGTTTGATAGGGGGGAAATAATAGTGATTACTAAATTCAGAAGCATGAAAGAGCTCAAGATTTAGGGGGCATTTTGTTTCCTAATTTAATCATTCTCAAATGAACAACAGATTAATATATAAACAGAAATGCTGCCATGAAGGTCACTTTCGAGTTTCATCCATGGCGATGCATGTGCATATGGACATTGAAAGGTGCAGATATATCATCCGTGTCATTAAACTACCGCATTACTTTTATGTCATGTGCAGCCTTGAATTATTGAGTCTGTTATGTGTTACTATTTTCTTTGTTGTTGTATTTTCGATTTCCAATGTTTCATATTGATTAATTCGGAAGGATCAATTCGGGTTACACACATGATTTTGATAAGTGAATATCTCAACAGAAATTTTCTACATGCATAAAGACTCGAACTCAAAATCTATTTAAACGATATCAAACTATTTAACCGGCCGTTTGATAAGTCTTGTTTACAAAGTGACAGCTGAAAGAGAGGTGAAACAAAGTTTTTTAAGTCTGAGTTCTAGTATTGATATATAGTTTATGTTTTTAAAAGGAAATATTTAATACTATGTTTTAAAAAATTTAATTTATAAATAAAAATAATCAATTAAACGATAACACTAGACCATCAAAATGACACAAATATAATAAATAAAAATTAAAAGTATAATACTAAATATTACTCATGATATAACATAAAAATAAATTACAACTCTCATTCGCACAACAAAGAGAGATAAGATCTCACGAGACAAGAAACCACCTATTTTCTGAGTGTTCAGTAGCCGTATGCTTATGGAATTCTGTTTTGATATTGAATGGAATGAATCCTACAAACTTATCATGGGAAGAAACGGTTGCTACAGCAAGCACTTCATAGAAAGGGAAATCTCTTATCACCTTCATTTTAAAGATAGCTTGGTATGCTTTTATCTATACTATATGGCAGGAAAGAAATCAACGAATTTTTCAACATCGGTCAAGACCTGCTGCAATTTTGCTAACCGAAATCATTGATGTTGTTCGGTTTTGTCTTAGGAGAAAAAATATCAATAGACTAAATAGTACTAATCTTAACCTTTGTAATGCTTGGGGTTTATAGCTATGTCATTCACTGTTTTTGTTTAAGTGTGCATAGTTTCCTTTTTATATTGATTGGTTGAATGATTTGTAGCAAAACTTTGATGTTTGGATAATAAAATTATTATTTATTCAAAAAAAAAAAAAAGAGATGAGATATTGGGCTTATCGTAATTATGGAATTGGGAGTTCAGATCCAAGAAGTAAAAAGATGACACTGCCGTCCGTACGTGTCTGCCTTGTTTGTATATTTATTATTGTTTTTTAGTTGGAATCAAATTACAACAAAAATTAATTCCCAAGTGGATTTATTTACATATTATTATTATTAATTAACTATTAAAGTTTAAGATAATTTTTTTAAGCAATGGACAGCTGGACATCATGTGAATGTGAATTTAGTGTCGGTGGCATATTCGGAACTGTGCATGTTTGAATGTTTGTTCCTTTACCACCTAATATTTCATCCATGTGCCTATCTCCATGGATTGCCACGTTTAAGAACGGACTAAGGGCATAGTTTTTTTTCTTTCAAAATAATAATAATTTATTTTTATTTATAAAAATTTATAAATTAAACGTCTTTTAAATTATAAAAATTAATCTCTTAACATAAAATTCCATATTTATTCTTAGCTTCTATTTTTTTTAATTTCATTTATGTTCAAAATGGATTGGTGTCAAAATTTGTTTAAATATGTTCAAATTCCAGGAATTTTAAAAACAATTATAAAATCTCAGACAATACTTTAAATGATATATTAAAATTTTGAATATAATATATATACATAATGACATTATAATTTTTTAGTAAACTAAGATGATTACAAAATAATATTTGTTCTAAATATTCTTAATTATTTGACAATAAGCACTCAATCACCCTACTACAGTCATTGGTGCTCGAACCAGTAACCTCTAGGAACAATAACAATTACGTTAACCACTGAGATAAGTTAATTTGTGCAATGACATGATAAATTTAAAATATATGACATTTAATAAGAAAAACATATAAAGTTATCACAATAACAAACTATATTATGAGCGGAACTTACTTTTTTATATGATTAGGCTAACATTATATCGTTTGTCTCGGTAACTCTCTCTAACGTATTTGAAAGCTTCTGATAATGATGATGAAAATAAATAACACTTAGGAGATTTGGTTGGAGTAATCTCATATTCCATTTCCCGTTTGCTTGGCCAATATTCTCAGCCTTTAGTAATCTTTTATTTTCAACAGTGATATTTTAGGGTATATTACCGTGAATGTTAATACCTTCATTTTCTTAGGTATTGTTGGATTACCAGAGTTTTAGACTAAAACGTCCTTAATTTTTTTTTCTTAAAAAAATATCCTTATTTTATCATTGAATAAAAAAATTCTACGAATGTTAAATTACAAATTTATCCTTAAATTATTTTAGATTTATTAAAAAAAATCTATAATTAGAATTTTATATTAAGTTCAGAGGTTAAAATAAAATTTTACCATTTCATTAAACCTATTTCTCTTTTTTATTTTGTAAAAAAAGTTATATAAATTTTATGAATTTAAATTTTTTAAGGAAAATATATAAATTAATTATAGTAGTATTACATTACAATTCAACTTGTAAAAAAACAAATATATAATAAGGATAATTTGATAAAATATACATTTCAATAATATTTTATTCCTTTAATCAAACATTATATTTTTATATTCCTGTTAAACCAACCAAATACAAAATACAACATTCTCAATAATCTTATTACTATCGATAATCTTATTTCTACTGATAATTTTACATTATGTGAACCGCACCCTTAATATCAAGAAGCATCCGGTTCCGTGGCGAAATGATAGGCGTCTGACTGCAGATCAGAAGGTTTCGTATTCGATTCACGTCGGGTTCAATACCCCGAATGCCGGAATCACATTTTATTCCTTTTTGAAGTAGTGGGTCTGGAGTCTGGACAGTATCTATTTTGGGAAACCCAAAAGAGCCATTCGAAGTTGATCCATACCCAAGTAGTCTTATTTCTAAATTTCGCACTAATTTAGAATTACATTTCCAAAACATTTTTGTACATCGCCGCCGTGATTCCACAGTTGCAATCCCCTTCAACTGAGCTTCACCACTCCGCTTCCCATCCTCCACTCTTGAAAGCTCAAAACACTTTCCTTCTTCCGACTCTTGAAAACACTATAAATTTTGTTACAAGTCTTGGATAGGATCCTGACATCCAACCAAAATCCGCCATTGCCACCCCACACGGAGCTTTTTCTAGAGTTGTACGAAAAGAGAGAGATCTATGAATTTGCCAGATCATTTCCCAAACTTCTAACCCCAAAAAGGTTATGGGCCGTCCAAAGAAACACTTGGCTCCTTTCCTCCTCCTCCTCCTAGCCTTCTGCATCTTCCTCCTCCTTAATTCCCCTCACCCAAATTCCATCTGCACCCAAACACTTACTCTAAATCCCCACTCTATCGCCACCACCGGCGCCATCTCCTCCACCCCAACCTTTTCCTTACTATCAAAGTCCTCACTTTTAACCGCCTCAACTCCCTCACCTGCTGCCTCACCTCCCTTTTGAAAGCCCGCTACGACCCCTACCTCCCGGTCCACCTCCACATCTTCATTGATCATTTCTCAAACCAATCCGAATCTGACATTGACCTCAAACTTCAGGAGTCGCTTGGAATTCTGCGGTTTGTTGATGGGTTTGAGTGGAAACGGGGGCAAAAGATCGTTCATTACCGAACCGCCAATGCGGGTCTTCAGGCTCAATGGTTAGAAGCCTGGTGGCCTACTTCTGATGATGAGTTCGCCTTTGTTGTGGCAGATGATTTGGAGCTTTCTCCTCTATATTTTAAATATTTGAAAGCTTTGATCTTGAATTATTATTACAATTCTTCCAATTTTAGTCCTTCCGTTTATGGAGCTTCCCTTCGGCGCCCAAGGTTTGTTCCAGGTACCAATTATTTCCTTTCAGGTTTCGTTCTCTTTTTTGATAGTTTAGGTGAACTTTTTCCTTTTTTGCTTAATTGGAAATGAATAATTGTTATTGTTCGATGAACAATTTTGAAGTTCCCATGTATCTGAATTATATTAATTTATGCGGTGACGATTGGGTTTATGTTAAAATTGAAGATAAATCCGACCTGCTAATTGAAGCTTTGTCATTACTGTGGTTTCTGCGATGAAAATTTTCATTTGAACTTTGGGAATCTGATTTGATATAAGCAAACATTATTTTTAAGAATAATAATATGTAATCCTCTTAGGTCAAAATACATCATTTTATTTTCCACCGAGTAATCATACCATAAATTGTTATATTATATTTAGCTATTCCTTATAAGAAGAAATCGTTTATGAGAATAACATTGTTCTCTTCTTAAAGAAAAGCACACATGCCATTCTAACCAGCAAAATTGTAAGATTATTGACCCGACTACCACTAAACATGATCATTTTCTTTCTTTTCTTTATGATTTTTCGGTGTTCCTTCAATATTTGTTTGCATCTCCGGGTAAACATGGAAACAAGATGCTACTGGAGAGCACCTCAGGACTTTTCTTTTACCGACTGGTAGGCACTTGGGGCCAGCTTCTCTTTCCAAAGCCTTGGAAAGAGTTCAGGTTGCGGTACGATGATCACAAGGCGAAAGACATCAAGCCATTTCTTGATGGGATGGTAAACTTACGTTGTTTTAGCTATTTTCTTCATCTATCATTGCTCATATATTTGTTGTGTAGTTTCAATTTAATAAAACGTAGAAACTATATACAGGTTACTACAGGTTGGTACAAAAGGATGGGAGAAATAATATGGACTCCTTGGCTCATTAAATTTATTCATTCTCGTGGCTATTTTAATATATACACAAAGTTTCCAGATGAGAAATCACTTAGCGTCTCCCACAGGGATGTTGGTGTCAACTATGGAAAAACAGCAGGGCCAGATTCTCAACTATTGGATGCAAATTCTTTTGATTCCCATTTTCCGGAAATGAAATCTTGGAGGTCTATGAAGTGGTATGATTTATGTTTCAGGTAAGAAGTTCCGGGAAGAATTGTCAGGCCCTTAAATGATCTGGAGTATATTCTTCCCTCTGTGCAGACAAAGGGAACTGTTTTACTTGTCAACCTATTTGGGGTGTCGGACACTGTTACTAGAAACCTTCTTTGTCACTTTGAGAGCCTAAATATTTGGAATTATATTTTCTTCGGTCCTGCAACGGAATTTCTGTTTGATCTTGCTAGAAGAGGATATCCTGTGATTGATGCAGACCAATTAATAATATAAGATCATCTGAATCAGGGAGAATTCAAGAGTCTATGAAAGGGATTCTATTGAAGGCTTATGTTGTCAAAAAAAAGTTTAGAATTCAGTTATAATACTTGGGTATTCAATGGAAACATGGTTTTTGTCGATAATGATCTGTTTACGAGTCTGTTGATTCGGCAGACAACTTCTATGCAGGAGAGAGCCTGGACCTTTTCTCTGTCAAGAATTCACCTTCTGCTCACAAAATTTGGACTGATGCTTTTCTGCATGATATTGTAGTTATGGTGGAGAAAGATTCGCTACAAAGGGATGGCCGAAATTTTGCATCCGTAATGATAAAACAGATGGAACAGAAGGGGATTAGATATAAGTGATTTGATGAGAAAAGCCTCAGCTTGGAAATCGGCAACCAAAATCCCAATCAAAACTTGAAGACGAATAAAAAGGTGGTTTACTGGGTTAAAGAGAGAGATTTGCTTTCCATTCAGAAGAAGCTTCAGGAAATGTGTCTGTGGGTCATAGATAACGACTCGTCCTACGGAGCTGTTGTTTGTCACAAGTCGTAACAGTTACAGAATGTTCAGAGGCATTGCAAGCAATAGAATGGCAACACTTTTGATGTATGTGCTAGGAATGAATATGATGATGCTAAATGAGTTTGATATTTTTCAGAAACTATGTCTGGGCTAATGGAGGTGGTGAGATTGAACGCATAAATCTTATTAGATTGGAATATGTATGGATTTTTTGAACCGAGAAAGCCTGGGTTTGAGGAGGCCAAGGCTGTTGGAATTTTGTTGGAATCTATTTGTGAGTTCCCCAAATTCTTTGAAGGCAACTGGTTAAATCTGTTTTAGATTAAATAATAAATTTCATTTCAATTTTATATGAAGAAATGTGCATATAAATATTAGGGTTACTTCCCGAATTCGTCTTTATGTTTTTCCTAAGCTGCAAAAAAAAAAAAAGTTTTATAAGAATTGGAGGTCTCCTTTATAGTTCGAAAGTAGCAGAAGGAGAACTCATATTTCAGCCGCCACTTATCACAACTAACAATTGCATCAATCATGGAAGAATCTCTTTCTTTAACTTAATTTTTTATCTCAATATCCTTGTGCCGTCTTCTTTTTTTCCTTTATTTATTGTTTAGCCGATGACAACGCTAATTTTAATAGTATTTACCGATCATCGGGTGATTATTATTTTTCTTGTTCTTTTTCATATTAGGTCTTTGTTTTCTTTTTTTCTTTTTTCGAGTTTTTTCACTTTTAAATAAGAATCTCTGTCATTGTAATATGTTTTTCTCTGTTCTTATGGCACGTTCCTTATGGTTTTCAATAAGTTTTTCGTATACTTTTGTGGTCGTGTTGGTACTTCCACAAAGATCTTCATGGCATTTGTTTTCCAATTGGCTTGTCAATGGTTACGTATTGTCAGATTTCTCTTTTTTAAATGGTCGTTTGTCAATGTAATCAAAATTGTGTAGCGAAGCAGTTTGTCAAATTATTTGGTTCGCTCATTATTTCTTTACCACATCGTAAAATGTCTCGTTCGAAAGAGAGAGAGTTTTATAAAAGTTACTAGATTGTTTTGATGTTTGGAATGTTTCATTCTCTTCGTATCTTTGGATTTAATATTTTAATTTTTATGTATGAATTTTTAGTGATTTTTGTCTATAATTTTTTCTTTAGATACGTTATAATTTTGATTTCTCTATTTTTATTAATGAAATTCAATTGTCATTGTTAAAAAAAATAGAAGAAAGAGAATAAGAGGACCTCGCATTTTATTACACATAAAATCAAATACAAAGTTCATTATAAAACCTCTCCAAAACAAGGAGAATCCCACGCTTCATCTACAACCAGTAACCAGCCAAATGATCCTCAACCTCTTTAAGGACAGAAACCTCTACCCTATTCCTTCTTTTGCTAGTTCGTCGGCTTTCGCATTAACACTCCTCTTAACACAACGAAGTACAATTGCCCGTTTTCTAAGAACTGATACAATATCTCTAACCAGATCCAAGAAAGGTCCGGGACATAGTAGATGATCTTTTACCCAGTCTAAAGCTGTCTTATAATCACTCTCTGCAAAATGAATAAAATGTTTATTTTTTTCAAAAATTTGAAAGCTGTAGGAAATGTTAATGCAGGCAGGGTGAGTCAACTTGTATACTCCGATTTATCGACAAAATTATGTGCTAAATGAAAATGCAGGCGTGCTTGAAGGCTTAGTTCAACTAAATATAGTACCTTGATTTATTTATTTATTTCTACCTTCTCATCTTCCTTTTTGTTCCCCCCCCCCCCCCACCACTTTAAAACTTCGACGGTTGCAGGCCAAAGGCAGAAAGGAGCTCCTTAAGCATCAGAGAATGCTGAACAGCGTCGAACTTGGTCCATGATCAGGCTTGGCTGACAGTTAAAACGATCATATTCGGTGTCCATGATCAGGCTTGGTGACGATTAACACGAACAAACATATTCGGGCACCGATACTTGATCAATCCATCTCTGCCCCGGATGGGTGCCATGAACTGCTGAAACAAGCTTTATTCAATGAATAGGGCTGAAGGATTGTGCCGGTGCTGACCCTATCCCCTCTTTTCGTCACCGCTCTCGCAGTCCTCTCCTTGAGAAATACACACGTGTGATATCTAATAACGCCCATAAGACACACAACAGTAACGAGACCTAAATATTATTGACAAGAAGAGCTTCTGAATAATCTCAGGTGATGAACTGCCAAGCTGAATGAAAATGTTCATAACAAAATTTGATCTGTATCAAGCAAGCCATTGAGTTGGATCCAATCTCTCCATTCTCTCTCCAGCCACAAAAGCATGGACCTGGTCCTGGATATGAACCCAACTGCACCCGGGTTTCTTACTTGCGCCCCTTAATTTCATCAGTTCCTTAACCCTATTTGCCTCATCCCATTTCCCTGCTTCAGCATACATGTTTGATAGAACAGTATAGTATCCAGCATGCTGGGGCTTTAACTTAAACAAATTCTCAGCAGCCCAACACCCTAGCTCAACATTTCCGAAAATTCGGCATGCTCCAAGTAAAGCACCCCAAATATTAGCATCCGGGGTTACTGTCAAGCTTTTAATAAGTTCTTTTGCCTCTTCCAGTAGGCCAGCCCTGCCCAGAAGATCGACCATACATGCGTAATGCATTTCTGTTGGCTTAATTTTCTGATTTTTCATTGCTTCGAAGTATTTCCTCCCTTTATCAAGTAATCCCCCATGGCTACAAGCCGATAGTATTGCAATGTATGAAACCGAATCATACTCAATACCATCTGTCTTCATTGCTTCAAAGAGACTGATGGCAGGGTCTAGTTCACCTAGCATTCCATAACCTAATATCATAGTATTCCATGAGGCAACGTCCTTGTGCTTAATCTGGTCAAAGAGCTTCCTAGCAGTGTCAATTTCTCCACATCTAGTGTAGAAGTCCAATAGGGAATTAGCGACAAAGAGATGGGTGTGAAAATGCCTTCTCACAGCCAGTCCATGGATTTCTTTGCCTTGCTTGAACGCGGCTTGGTTTGCACAGGCTGATGTAACACCCATGAATGAAACTACATCATGTTTCATACCAATGAGCTCCATTTCTAAGAACAAACTCACAGATTTTGACCATTCACTAGTTTGTGAATAGCCTACGATCAAAATATTGTATGAGACTTCATCCTTAATTGAGGTGTTAAAGACATTTTGAGCAAGCTTTAGGTGTCCACATTTTGCATACATGTCTGTCAGAGCATTGGAAACAAACAGATCATAGTTGGATCCCAGACGAATCGTTCTACCATGAATTTCTTTTCCATTTTGAAGAGATCCTACCCGTCCACAAGCTGGAAGAACATTTGTTAAGGTAATGGAATCTGGAACCTCACCTTGAGCTTGCATTTCTCTTATTAGTTCCATAGCCGCCGACTCGAACCTATTCTGAGCAAAATTGGCAACCATGGCATTCCACGAAACAACATTTCTCCTCAAATTCATTTGGCGAAACACATTTGAAGCTGAACTCGGATGACCTGCTTTTGCATACATATCGATCAATGTGTTCGAGATAAATGCATCATGTTCAATGCCAAATCTCAGACTAAAACCATGAATCTCCTTTGCTAAATTGAAAAATTCTAACTCAACCAACAATGCTATCATACTTGAAATAGTGATGGAATCGGGTGTCAGCCCAACCTCCATCATCAACCTGAACATATCCAACGCATCCCTATTAAGCCCCATGTAAGCTAGACTAAAAATTATTGCATTCCAAGAAACCCCATTTTTATCCACCATTTCATCAAAAACTCGTTTTGAATCATCTGAACCGAGACATTTCCCATATGCATCAATCAATGCATTCCCGATGGTAACTTCAGAATTTAATCCAACCTTAACAACACTTCCTTGAATCTGCACCACCAACCTTATATCTCCGACCCTTCCACAAACGGGCAACAAAGTGACAAAAGTAACCATGTTGGGCTTCATGTCAGAACTAAAATTCATTAGGGAGAAAAAATCAAGGGCCTCCAAGTAAAACCCATTAACCGAAAAAAACCCTAGAACTGTATTCCATGATACAACATCTCTCTCACGCATTTCTTCAAACACTTTCCTCGCTTCCCTCAAACCCCCGCAGTTGCCATAAAAGGACAAGAGGGTATTGCCTAATAAAACGCTCGAACCAAACCCAGTTTTAATAACAGTCCCATGAACCTCCAAGCCTTTTTGAAAATAAAAACCATCGGCACAAGCCTTGAGAAGGAAAGGGAAAGTATAAACATCGGGTTTTATTCCTGTTCGAAGCATTGAATTGTAAATATGGAACTGAAATCCGTCGTGATTAACTCTAGCGATGGATAAAGCACGGATGAAGGTGTTCCATAAGAAAGGCGTTCGAGAATAGGGAAGAGCTTGTTGGAACAGGAGGAGACAAGTTGAAGGGGAACTAAAAGCGGCGTAGCGGAGAATGAGAGAGGCGGAGAGGGAAATGTCGGTGGGGAGGAGGCCATGGAGAATGGCAAAGGCGTGAGTTTGCTTGGTTTGGATAAAAGATCTGGTTTTGGAGCAGAGGGAAAGCAGAGTTTTGGTTAGGGTGTTGTAATTACACATGGCCTTACGTGCATGCTGATGTTGTGCTAACACTCAAAATTCTACGGCTTCCTCAAACTAGGATGCTCTTTACAATTTATGTTTAACCATATTTCAGTATTTATAATTATAGGATCTACTCCATTGCATATCATTCAGTTCTGGTTCATCAAAATTTTCTTTTTAATAATTTGAGAAATTGTCTTGCCAATAAATATTAGGGTAAATTATAAATTTATCACTAAACTTTACTCTCTTTCCTATTTTGCTCGTTGAACTTTAAAAATTAAAAATTAAAATTTTTAATTTGAGAAATTGTCTTACCAAAATTTTCAATTTTGTAAAATATTTTTTAGTCAAAACAAATACCTAAAGTATTCAAATTGTTTCACCCAAGTACCTAAAGTATTATTTAATTAATATTATATATCAACTTTTTTATAAATTAGATGAAAATATTTGAATAGTTTAAATATATATTGGTTAAAAAAATAACTTTAAGTGTTTATTTTAATTAAAAAATACTTTAAATACTTAAATAAAAAATAAAATATATTTTAAGATATAAGCCTAAAAAAAATGTAAAAGATAACAAAATGGAAAGAACAGGGTCCAAACCCCACAAACCCATTAACCGTAATTAATCGCTATGCGCTTCATTCAATTTGGTTATTATTATTGTTTTCGTAAATTATTGATGCCTTTTCAAGATCCAAATATATAAACACTCACATCAATGACGTGTCCACGCATGGCTTTGACCAACTTCCCATCAAAACTTTTTCCTATAATTTTTCTCTAGCCTCGTAACCCTTACTTGGAATTTAAGTAAATAAACCATCCTCCAAGTCAAATATATGACATCATATAAAGATTGACGTTGTTATAAAAAAATCGATTAATAATTACATATCATGCACCCATTTATCAAATTTTACAGATCTAACACTTATTTATTGACATGGACGGAAGGCGCAGATCATCATCCGTATCTTTTCTAGGTTTTCGTCCGAATTGGGGTCATTAGGACAAATCGAGGATCACCATCCGCGATTTCACGAGGAAAACTGACACACGACGGAAGGCGTAGATGCCTTCCATTATTCACCTTGAATTATTGGGTACTACATTATTACCTGAGCCTTTAAGCTCGACGACTTACCTCTCTTCTTCCCTATAAATACCTTCGAATGCAAAAACCAAACCACACCAAAATTACTTTCACATTCTTCCTTCTATCAAGCTAAGTAGATTTTATTATAGTTCTTATAATGTAAAATTATTTATTATTATATTTATTTTATATTTAATTATTTGACCAAAATTGTTTGTACTAATGATTTGATTTTATTTTGTTCTGATATAAAATAGAAGGCATGGTCAAATTTCGAGACATTTTCCCAAGACGGTAACAATATTAAATTGCGTTATTAAATTTATTATGAATTTTTTTAAAATGTTTTAGCATTAGTTTATTTTTAAGTTCATTTATTATTTATTTAATTAGGCGTATTTAATCTATTATTTTTTGCAGATATAAGACTCTCAATCTTTCAAACTATCAAACTCTAAAAATGAGGCGTATTTTAGCTATTGTTTACTATGATGGAGAAATTAAAGAATATGAAACAGGCGTTGTCTGTAATTAAATCATTATGTCAGAATATCTTTCAAGAGAAACGTCACTCTTGAATAGCTGATCACTAAAATGCCAAGGAATATTCATGTTAGAAGTACTAGAAGATTATCCTCACTTCAGTATAAATTTCCAACAACAATATTTATGTTAACTTATATAGCGTTCAAACTCTCCAACGATGACGATGCTCCTATGATGGTTGATTCTCATAATCAAAATTCAGACACCGATACACAGATATATGCGACATTTGTTGAAGTGTATGCGGTTCATGGTATGTCATTATGCTCTCACTATGGGCTGGTTCAATAAGCTAATCAAGTTGACAGGCCAACTACAATGATGTGTAATGATTTTAATGCCATAATGAGAAATCCACATCATGGTACAATCCCATCAAGTTCAATAGGAAGACATTCATCAGCAACATGTTAGGATGTTTATCGAGGTGGCTCCACGAATAATCCGTATGGCAACGTTGCTTCCAGTTCAAGATGAAGGCATTCATCTGCCAATTTCTTTGACTTGAATATAAAGATGTCATCGACACAACAATCTGTTCAGTACCCATTTGACACGATGCCTTTAAGTTCTAGGGGGAGGAATTCAACTGCGAGTTCTTCGACCTCAATGTCGAGATACTTGCGACACAATACTCAATCCAAAACCCGTATGACACGATTCCTTCAAGTCCAAGGGGAATGCATTCAACTACCAGCTTGTTTGACCTAAATATCGGTATCGTATAGGAACCTTCATTTCTACCAGAAGAACCTCATTCAACTACCATCTTGTTTGACCTAAATATCGGCATCGTATAGGAACCTTCATCTCTACCAGAAGAACCTCTTCTTGAGATAAGTGCAAATGGTGCTGAGACTGGACTATTCATTGAGCCAGAATCACTGCAATTTAACATGAACTTTAATAATGATTATGTAGATGAAGTTTCCACAACTACGGTACACACCGAACCTCCAGCACACATGTATGAAGCTGACTATGGTGCAATGTACAAGGCCATAATTTAAGGATATGTCTAATGTTGGTGACTATGGATTTAACTCGCAAGTCAATGATAATGAGTTATATATCGGAATAGAGTTTTCATCGAAAGAAAAAATGATTGTTGCTATTAAGAATTACAACATTCGTAATTTTGTTCGTAATTTTGTTCACTCTAGAGTCGACTGATCCATCATCGAAAAGTATGTCTACTATTGTGTCCAACGTGATAACGAATGTAACTAGATGATTCTTGTATCGAAGAGGAATAGGAAAAATAACATATGGGAACTAGCAGTATACAAATGTCCTCATACATGTTGTGCTAAAGGGATCAACTAGGACTATCCCAATTTGGACTTCAATATTATCCGTCAAGCCATCATGCCCATCGTCAAAGCAAACTCTCATATAGTTATTGATGTGCTGATTTCACCTATACAGTCTCAATGTGGGTACACCGTCTCCTATAGGAAAGCATAGAAGGCAAAGCAGAATGCCATTAAAAAAATGCACGGTGAGTGGGATTCATCCTACAATAAACTACTAAGTTGGTTTAGGGTAGTGCACAGACTGAATCCTGGGACAATAGTGAACTTTGATACTTGCCATGCATATAACAATGATCGAGTGCTTCACCATAGATGCCAATTCTATCGGCTGTTTTGGACTTACCTACAATGCATTAATGTTGTGAAAATATTGTAAGTTTGTGGTCCAGATTGATGGGACATTCTTGTATGGAAAAATACAAACAAGTTCTACTATTGGCAGTTGTTCAAGATGGCAAATGCAATATTCTTCCAGTTGATTTTGCCCTTGTTGAAGGAGAATATATAGATTCTTGGGTTTTTTATAAAAAAACTTATGCTTACATGTTGCCACAAGGGAAAAAATATGTGTCATTTCAGATCGCGGAGCTGAGATCAAATCAGCAATGGACTATTTGGGTCCAATGTGGCAACCACCTTATGTCCAACATCGATACTGTGCCTGACATATTGGAACTAACTATCATGGAAAGTTCAAGAAGAATGATGAACACCAATTACTTGTGCGCATGGGTATGTCACATTTCTTAATTTTATTTTTGTAGAATTTTCTTTTTTTATGGGAACTTAACAGTAAGTGCTACATAAATCGCTCAGGTTACGAACTACTACCTCAGACGTTTGAGTCCATGCTTCAAGAATTACGAGGGAAAATGAGCAAGGATACAATTATATCAGTCTCATTAAACAAAGAAATATGGATAAATGCATATGATAGTGGATATTGATATGGACACACGGCGACCAACTTGGCTGAGGCTATCAATTCGACCTTAAAGGGCGCGCCTTTTACCAGTTACAACTTTGGTTAAAATGATATATTTTCGTTTGGGAGCACTTTTTGCCAAGCTCGATGGACAAGCTCAAACTTGGATACAAAACGATCATGTTTATCACCCAAGATTAGTTGTAAATCTACAAAAACTAATTGTTGCTTTAATTAGAATGTCTATAACTAACTTCTCTTGAGCCCGTGAATTATTTCATGTCACATAAATGCCACGACCGCTTCAAATGGAATAGATTATATGAAACCGAATTGTCGAAGCACACGATCAGTCGGATACCACTCAACAATAGCATAACATATCAGAGAGACCACCACTATCCATATATCTAGTGGGCCACTCATATTAGGTGGGATACAATGCATTATTTCGTCAGTAACATAAGGACTCAATTGAAACTACAACAAATATATACAATTCTTTTCAAAATAACATTTTAATTATATAACGATAACTAAAGTTAAATAATAAAATTTAAATGCATACTCGTGTACCAGTTTTTTAATAAATGAGTAGTCAAATTTCTTCTAATTCGTCTAGTATTTCTCGATGATCTTTCCTTAAACATGACCACCTATTTAGTGTAAAAAAATATTCATTATACACTCAAAAAACTATTTATTTACGAACTCGACATTGAAATTACCTCAGCAATAACGTGAAAACTAACAAGTTCTTCAGCATCGGACATAAAAAGAGCATACGATACCACACCCATGAATGCAGAAGCAGGAGACATCCGCTGATAGCATTTTTCTGATAATCAGTTGCTCACACACATTTCTCTATAAAGAGATGTAAAAACTGTGGAGCCCCAACTAAATGACCCTGTAACTAAAAAATTGGTGAGGAGTCGCAACCACATACATACAATAAACTTGGTTGCGAGATTTATCGGGCATCAAGATCCTTCCTATGAGTTGTAATATGCAAACCTGAACAAATATTTTAACCTCTTCCTCGGAACAGTTGTCGCTCAACTGTCGAAAATTTGTAGTCAACCATGATAACGGTATTTAACCGCCATTGAAATTAGACAAGATACCTCTAAGATTCTCATCGCACAAGGAATGTCAATCAATATC